CGCGAACCCCTGGGAGGACCCGCTGCCTCAGGCCCTGCCAGCTGCTCCGGGTCCGGGAAAGAGCGGGTTTGGCTGTGCCCCTGTGTCCGGGCTGGGGTGACCTCGAGCCCTCCTGCCACATGCAGGGTGGTCGCTGTGCCCTGCGGTTGCCTGTTCGGGCTCAGCTGCTCCCCGACGCGGTGCTTCGCTCGGCCAAGGGCTCAGCCCGACCCCCTCTTCCCGCAGCGACGCCATTGCCCTGCTCCGAACTGAGGCGGAAATGTTGGAGAAATGGTACCGTAAGAAGGACCCGAGCGCCCAGTCGCCCGAGCAGCAGTCCGAGATGCACGATGACCGGCCGAAGCTGACACAGGTACTGCTCCGCAGACAGGGCAGCGGCTGCAGGTTTTTGGGTCTGGCTGCTGCCTTTCTGCACAGAGCCACGACCCTTCTCCCCTCTGCAGCCCCTCTGACCTACTGGCACTCCCCGACATCTCAGCACTCATCTGACAAGGGGTCAGCAGGCAAGCTCCCCTGTTTGAAAATGTGGAGAAGAAAGTCCCCCAACAGCCATCTGCACTTGGGCTTCGCAGCGATGAGCCCCTGACCCAGACACCGTCTTGCAAAGAGGTGCTGCCGGCCTTGAAGGGGTTGGGGCTGCCTCGCCATTCCTGCGCTCAGCGCAAAGGCCAGCACTCCGTCCTCCTGAACAGCGAGTACTAGGGAGATCTGGAATGAGTTAACTCCCACGCAGCATAATTTGAAGTAGAAGTTAAACAAATAGGTGCTGACAAAGCAGGAGACCTGCCCAAGGCCGGGCCGTGTCTGTGACCGGGATGCTCTGCTCCTCTCCTCCCTCCCGGGGAAGTCCGCGTGGGCTCAGACCTGTGTGCATCCACACTCGGGTGCCACCACTCAGTGCGTGTTGCTCTCTCCCTTCTTGCTGGAGGCTTTTGGAGCAGGTTTTTACCTCTTAGCCCAAATGTTGCCTGTTCCCCAGAGACCCAGAGAGTTAAACCATGACAGCAGTGAACAGAAGCTCTACACCCTTTGTAGGGGGCCTACAAGGGTACTGGGAGAGGACCTTTTACAAGAGCCTGTAGTGATAGGACAAGGGGTAATGGGTATAAATTGAAATCAGGGAGGTTTAGATTAGATATCCGGAAGAAATTCTTCACAGAGAGGGTGGTGAGGCACTGGAACAGGTTGCCCAGAGAAGCTGTGGATGCCCCATCCCTGGAAGTGTTCAAGGCCAGGCTGGATGTGGCTTTGAGCAACCTGGTCTAGTGGAAGGCGTCCCTGCCCATGGCAGGGGGGTTGGAACTGGATGATCTTTAAGGTCCCTTCCAACCCAAACCATTCTATGATTCTATGATTCCCAGCCAGCGTCCTGCACTGGGTTTTAGCACCTGCCTGAGTCCGAAGTATCTGCTTTCTGGTTAGCCAAGCCCTTAGAAACCTTGCCTTTGGCCAGGTGGGTACTTGCCCTCTGCAAGGCAGCGCCTGCCTCACTGTGTCCCCACAGCACTGGGAATTGCTCCCGAGTGGTGTCAGTTCTCCCAAGAGCATGCTCCAGCCTGCCCGTGCTGCAGTAAGCTCAGGTCCTCAGGGGGTCTGGCCCAGGCCGTGGTGGGAGATCCCGTCTGTCCTACACAACAATTAGCATCTTCTCTACGAAGGGGTGTGTTGCATGCCCACGTGAAGCTGTCACATTGGCTTTAACCTCTAGCCCTGGATTTGCCTGTTGAACTGAAAGTGCTTGCGTAGGAGGGTTTTGTGGGTGGATCAGTGGATAGATGGGGTCAGCCCAGGTGTGGCCCTGAGTTATCCCTGCCCTGGAGAGACCTCCTTGTCCTTGCCATAAGCTGGAATCCCACTAATGTGACCGTTGAGATTATTTTCTTTTTGAACACAGGAAAATGCAACAACAGTTGGCCAGTGCTGGCTTTCTAAGGGCATCTGTGTTGTTCTTTGGTTGTTGCAGGCTTGGGCAAGGTACCAATCCAGGCTGCATCGTGTGATGGGCTATCCTCTAGGCCTGACAGTGGAGCAGAAATGTGAGCTGGCTGAGCGGGAGCTGAAGGAGGTGAAGAATGAGATTCAGAGGATGAAGGAGGACTCAGAGCAGACCTTGAAGTACCTTGAGGTATGGCTCTCCAGGACCCTTATATCTTGTTGCTTTTCACACCTCTTTCAATATGCCATCCCTCGGGCAGTGAGACAGGCTTGCTTGGTGAACGCTGGTGCAGAGCATTGCTGTGAGGAGTCCTGAGTTGAGAGTGGGAGCCAGAACTGCCTCTCACCTTATCCCTTTCTTGAAGGCAAGTACACCAACAGAAATCAGAGGTGCACAACCTCTAAAGACATCTTATTATGGCAGGACCACATAATAACACAGATGAGGGGAAGATTTTTAAGTAGAGAAGCTCAGATCTGCTGTGTGAGATGAAGGCAGCAGTGCTCGAAAGAAAAACCTTTTTGTCAGCTTCTTGAAGGTGTGCCCTTTGTCCCAGACATGCTTTTCATTCCAGCAGCTCCCAGAAGCTGCCTGATTTGGTTGGGCGCCATGCAGTCCTCTCCAGGGTCTGCCTTTCTGCTGCCTCTGGGATTTCTTCAGAGCATGCTCCAAAGTCTCTGAGACTTCACGCTTGCTGCAGGCTTCTTGTGGCTGTATCGCCATCTCTGCCCGCTCTGTGCTGGCTGCCGAGACCCCCTCCTAGCCAAGATGCTCAGGAGATTTTGGGCAAGGAGAGACATCTGTGTTCAGCTCAGACCACTGACGCTGCCTGCAGTGGCCAGGAGCGGTGAAGCAGACATCCCTCCCTCTCTTGTGGCCAAGGGCCATATGCAGGACACAAAGGGTGCTAATTGTCTTGTGTCAGCTGAGTCAGACTGGCCACGTTTGTAGGTCAGGATGGAGTGGCAGATGTTGAAGCTCAGACACATGAGAGATTTGTTTTCTTGCTCTCTGAGTCAATGAATTAGCAGTGTTGTGCGAGACTGCACATGTGCCTGGAGCTGCACAGGGTGAAACTCGGTGCTCTTACAGGAGAAGTGCTAGTGACGCCAGCAGAGAGCATGCCTGGTCCTTTCCGTTGTTCTCTGTTTTCAAAGCTGTCTGGATACGGGAAGTTAGCACCTCTTGAGTGTTTGTGACTTTATTTCTATAGGCATCCATAGAAGAATCAGATGTGTGGTGGACTGATACTAAGAAAGCCATGAGTGACTTTGAGAAAAAAATCATCAACACCGCCTCCAGCAATAAAGGGAGTATCATAGCTTCTGAGAAGCTGCTGAGGTACCTGGAGGAGAAGAACCTTCAGCGGGTCAGTGCATCATGGCAGATTTTGAGGCTGGTTGGTCAACTGACAAGTATGTTGCTTTGGGAAAATCCTCATTCCCATACTCCTGTGTGGCCTACGTCCCGTTTTCAGACTGCCTTGGCAAGCCTGTTTGCACAGCCCTTGGCACACTCGTTGGTCGGTGACTAGCTGAGGTGCTCATCAGGCTGCAGAGCTGCAGCGCTGCTGTGAGCATGGATGATGCAGGGCCCTTAGCGGAGCCTGGGAAAGTGCACTGCCGTGCCCCCAGTTTTGGGGCAGGGTGATGCTGAGCGGCGTGTCTCGCTGGGCTCCTAAGTCAGCAGTGAAGGCTGCAGTGTGCATGAGATGAATGGGAACCACACCATAAGGTGTAGAGGCTGGGTGCTCTTTTCCTCCCCGGCTCTCCTCTTTCACTATAATCTGCTGTCTTTCTTTAGGATCTGCTGAAAGAGAAGTTGCGCTTAAAGAATAATGTGCTCAAGCGTTACAAGAATAAGCTGCAGCGGCAGCTCACGCAGGTGCGTGCAGCCATTGAGGGGAAGCAGGGACTGGGTGGCCCCTTGAAGAACGAAAGAACAGCCCCATGCAGATGCAGGGCCTGCTCTGCGTAGAGATGTGTGGTTCTCCCCTTCCTCCCCTTCCTCCTTTGCTCCTGGCCTTGCTGCCTTTGTCAGAGGGCACTGTCCTCCTCCCAGGTTCCGACCTGGCACGTATCTGCGTGCATGGGATGAGACCAGAAGTCTCACAGAGTGGAAACTGGCAGCTCACTTTGTGCCCTGGAAAGGTGGACCAGAGCAGTTTCCTAGGGACTGGCTGCTGCTGGTGTGGCAGGAACCTTGCCAGCGGGGACCTGTCTGCACTGCTTGGACCCTCCAAGCTAGGACACAGCACACAGGCTCAGTGGCATGCTGTGTCTCGCATTTCTCCCCGAGCATCAAGTCTGCAGCCAGGCTGAAGACCCTGTTCTTTAGCTCTGCTTTCCCCGTAAAGAAAAGCTGTCTTGTGTGGGGTGCAGCTCTGGACAGCACCCTACAGCTCTGCTTCCTTGGCATTTGCAGAAGGAGCAGATAGGAGAGATACTCTGCAAGATTCGTGTGCAGCAGCTGCAGATTAGAGATGCTCAGTACCTGAAGAAAATTGATGAGAAGAATCAGGAGATGCTGCAGCTAAAACTGACCTCAGAGAAGACTCTCCAACTCCTCAACTTCTATGAAGTGAGTAAACCACCCAGCACCTCTGTTTTGCCTTTCTTCTGTTCCTGAGGGTCACACATGAGCTCTTGCATCCTTCCCCTTCTCAGTCAGAATGCTGAACCCTACTCTCCCTTCCCACGGATTTAGCAGTTCGGTTGGGAGCCCTGCCCAACACACCACCAGCAGTGATGCCCTTATTCATGTTGACCTGCAGCCTGATGACGGGGCTCGTGCTTTGCAGGGCGGTTATTTTACACCCCAGGGCAAAATCCCAGTAGGAAAGGGGCTTTGGTGCCGACTTGCACAGGAAAACACGTGTTTTACATAACCTGTGACATCTGAAAAGATGTCACGAGCTGCAACCATCACTCTGAGTCTCTGCTTTTGGTGAAACGTGCCTCTCAGCTGGGTGTATTTGCTTCCCTCTCATCAGCCGTTCTGCCTGGGCTAGTCCTAAACCCCAGCTGCTGTGCCGTGGGCTGTGCTGCAGCGTGACACTGAGGACATAACGAAGCAGTACCTGCCTGACCAGGGCATGATGCTGCCTTCCGCAGGGGATGAGCAGTGCCACAGAGCTCCCTGGGAGCAAAGCTCTGGCACTGGCAGCTGAGACCGAGCTGGAGGAGCAGAGGGGTGGTTTGCAGGAGGCTGGGAGCTGCCACTGCGCCTGCTGATGCTGTCCTGTGCTCCTGTTCCAGAAGAAGCTGCAGGACGCCGTGGAAACGTCCACGTCTCTGATGAAAGACATCTCCCAGAAGAAGGAGCTGCTGGAGAAAATTGGAAGACAAGCTGCTCTGGTGGAGGAGGTAAAAGGGTGATTTGGGCGGCCCTGAGACTTCACTTGGGAGGACTCTTGGAGGTACTTTTTGTGGTATGTTGGATACCGATGCCCATTCGCAGCCTGGCAATGAGCTGGATGCCTATCTGCCTTTCTGTGTCTGAGCAAGTCCCGGAGATCCTGCGGGTGCCAGTGAGCTCAGGCAGATTTGCACAACAGGCCACGTTGTGGATTTCGGCCCTGGCTTCCCAAGGACCTGCCAGTGGCTTTCTGAAATTCCGTTTCCTTGAACTTTTTTTCATCAGCAGTCCCCTCTCCAGGGAGAAGCAGCACTGCTGTCATACCAGTCTGGGGACACATAGCCTGGCAGGGACACCACAGCTTTGGGAAGTGGGTTCGAGGGCTCCTTAGCAGTGCTGTCTGGCAGGGATGGAGGCACAGGTGGATGCATTTCACCGCTTCCCCACAGTGCCAAGAGGTTAATTTTTCCTGCCTGCTTCCCGGGAGGACTGGCCACCAGCTGGCAGAGGGACATTTCCCTGGGATCTCCTTACCCTCTGTCCCTATTCCTCCATCAGCAACGAGCCAAAGCTGAGAGTGTGAATCGGCAGCTGCAGAAACAGCTCTCGGAGTACCGCGTGCCCCCTGTGCTGAGTTATGTGCAGAAGAAGATGGCTGTTACTGACCTCGAAAACAGCCTCAAGACTTGGGAGAGGAAGGTGGCAGTTGCCAAGGTGAGTGAGACCAGGCTGGGTGTGCAGGAGCCCAGACCTGTGCCAGCTGGGCGCTGTGTCCCAGCAGATCTGTGCCTGCCCACCTGCAGCCACCCTGAGGACCGGAGTGCTCGCTCCTGACCCGTCCGGAAGCCGTGTGAGAGCTCTCGCATGGCGGTTGCACTGGTGCTTGGCAGAGCCAGAAGCTCTTCCTGTTTACGGAGCAGCTATCGCTCCCTAACCCGAGGACGGAGGCTGAATTATAATCACAGAGCTCAGAGGGGAAGCAAGGCAAGGACACGGCTTGTAATTTGGTTGGATGTACCATCGGGATGTTGCTATACTGAAACCTGTCGTGTGCGTAAGGAGAAGGGCAGCCCGGTGCATTTCCAGCCCTGCATATGTAACCTGCACCGGCCTTTTCCAACGCCCTGATGTCCGAGTCCTCTCTGACGATCTCAGACATTCCTTACTCACTTGTAGCTTGACTCTTTCCTGGTAAGGAAAAGCTAGCCGAGATCCAAACACGAGTTCATGGCAAGTTGCAGGAATGTTTTTGACTCTGCTCCAACTCCTGCAGTCGGGGAGGAGATGGAGAGAGGACAGAGGGGCATAATCAAGGCCTGGAAGTAGCAGGACATGTTTGTACCCTGCCCCGTGCAGGACATCCGTGCGCACAGCAGCATGGGGAGAGAGGTGGCTGGGTCAGTGTGTGGTCCTGTACCCTGACACCTTGCTCATTCTCGAGTGGAGAATGGCCTAGGTGTGGCTGGGACGGGGAAGTCCAGCACTTGGTCCCCCAGCACCGCAGCCCACAATGGATGGAGCTTCTGTGGCCCAGCCTTTCTTGGAGGTCAGAACGGTGTGGATTTGGGCTTGACCCATGAGCACCAGTGCTGTGAGTCCAGAAACAGAGGTCTGACGGTGGCTACCCCAGAGCTGTCGGACAGCCTGCCCGCAGGCTGGTCTTTGCCCAAGCAGATCCCTTCTCACCCAGCTGCTCCCCTTGACCAGGAGAGTCAGGCTCTGGCTTGCATGCTCTCTGTGCAGCAGCACCCAGAGCCCCGCCAGCCTCTGGCAGCTGCAGAGCAGCTCAAGGGGCTAAAGAAGGAACCTGTAGTTGTCCCTGGGACAAGAGTGAGGCTGTAAACCTCAGAAAATGCTCTGCCCCTCTGCAGCAGGGCACGTCCAACACCCCTGCTGCCGTGCGAAGGGCCATGGGTTTCTATGCAGCGCTGTTGTGTGGGGTCTCCAGACTTCCTGCGGCATTCAGGGGAGACACCAAAGCTGATGCAAACCCTTAGCATGCCACAGCCAACACCCATCTCAGGTGGGAGCAGGGCAGGGATGAAGGGGCAAGCCCAGGCCAGGCTCGATTCCAGCATTGCAGCTTTCTCCACAACATATCACCGCAGTCTGGACATATTAAGGCCTCCTCCTTTCTTCTCTTGCAGATGTCCTTGCAAAGCTACCGCAGAGCGTGGAACCAGATCAAGGTGTCTGGTAACCAGCACTAGGCTTGTCTGATGCTGCAAGGCGGGCAGCGGAAGCTGCAGAAGGAGCCAACCCTGTGAGGAAGTTTGCTGTCAAGTGGGTAAATGTAGCATCCTGCAAGCTGGGGTGAGATGAACCCACCTCTCCATGAAATGATAAAGAAACCCATGGTTCTGTTGTGAGACTGTCTCTTGGGTCTGTCCCAGCATGTGCTGGCTTCCACCAGGCTCTGCTGCCTCCCCCTCCGCAGGCCCTGCTAGGTCAGCCAGCGCTGCTCTGGCTGCTCCCCCTCCCTCCATCGCCACAATCCCTTATTCTCTGGTGATCGGATCCAACAGGTTCTCAGGAAGTGTGCTTTCTCTCTGGGCAAGCCCTGGTCATCACTTAATGCAGGAAGAACCAGAGGGGATTCCCTGGGAGATGTGGGGGTTAAGCATCTCCGAGCCTGCACCGACAACAGGAGAGAGCGGAGCAGCGTGAGCGTATAGGGAAAATCATTTCAGCATGGTGCGCATGAACCAAGCAGGCTGATTGCAGGAGGATACTTCCTTTACCTAAAGAAACACAACAGCAAGAAGGGAGCAGCTACTCCTTTCCCATGCACCTGGGGAAGCATAAGTGTCCCTTGGAGATAGGAAGTATTTTCCCACTGCAGGACTTAGAAATCATCTCAAATGGCCCAGCCTCAGATGAGTTCAGGTCTGTCTTTCCCTTGGGTTGAAACCAACTTCCTGAAATACCCTCACTGCTGCCCCGGAAGCCTCTTCCCAGTCTTTGGTTGGAGCCTGCAGATCAGCACGTGCCCTGACTAGTGTGGAGAATGCGGGAGGTCCTGCCCTCTCGGTGGTGGCCAAGATCCAGTCGCTGTAGTAGGACACTGGGCTGTACAGGAATAGTCCGTAGCATCTTATGCTGCCCTCACCGAGAACGCCTCTCCCATTTCAGGGGCACGTCTGTGCCCAGCCCTACGCTCTCCCACCCCCCCCCTCTTCCCTCTGATGCCCCCTTGCTGCGGCTGTCCCCAGCTTTGACCTCGCCTGGGACGGATGCCAGCGTCCACCTGCAGGGCCAAGCTGGCAGCGTGGCGTGCAGTGCGTGCGGGTCACATCACGTCACCTCTCACCTGAACCTGGGGCGGCACAGAGACACAGCGGCATGAGGCTTCACACTGCCCCAGCCGGGCAAAGAACTGGAGCCAGGGAGCCTGGGCCCCCTTTCCTGTGCAGAAGAGGGGGAGACGGCGTGCTGGGTGCCAGCTGGCCCAGAGGGGCTTGGTGTGCCCATGCTGAGCATGTCAGGCCGGTTCCTCGCACTGGTATGTGGGCGCTGCACATCCCAAGCATCCTGGCAGCGAGCAGGGACACAGAGAGACCCACTGGGCCCATTCCCAGCTCCCCAGCTCCCACCACCTCTCCACGGGCCTCATCCTGCTGCACTCAGCCTGCTCCATCACACCCCTGCTGATACCCACTGGCCCCATGCTGCCACCCCTGCTTGGAACCCCGGTGCTGCCGCAGTGCCCAGGCAGCAGGGCATGGGCACAAGCTGCTCTGTGAGCTCAGCAGGGCTAGGGAACCCGCCGGCATTCAAAAAAAAAGCATTTTGTATTATCCTTGGCTCTTGTGATTTGAAACGCCCTGGCAATCAGCTGGGAGGCAGCTGATGATCCCAAGGCTCGTGTGTAGTCGATTTGTGCTAAAAGGGTCCACTTAACCCTGCAAGAGCCAGGAAAACACCTCTGAGGAGTGGGTTTCACCCTGCCCTCCCCATGGGGGTGCCCTTCCCAGGCTGGTCCCCGTCTGGGCTGGTCCAACACGATGCGGTGTCACTGCAGAGAGTTGCCAAAGGTGACGGTGGCAGCTGACAGTGACACTGCTGAGCCGGAGGTACCTGGCACCTGACTCAATGTGAACACCACTTGACTAATTTCACATTCCCTGGATCTGCAGGGGTCAAAGACAACAACCTGCATGAGACCAGTGGAACCATCACCAGCCCATGCCCTTGACCCACGGGCTCTGGTCGGCCAGCTTGGTGACACCGGTCCCTTCCTGCTTTGCAGGTCTCGGAGGAGGTCAGCACTGCCAAAGAAGTGTGACCCCCATGGTAGCTCTCACGGGCAGCGCAGCACCCTCCCTGAGACCAGCCTGAGCTTCTTCCCAAAGGCCCAGCTGCCTCCTTCCTACCACTGCTGGGAGCCAGGCACCTTCTGAGGAACCGCAGCCTCCCAGCAGCCTGGCCGCAACCTCGGAACTAATGAGTTTTAAGCCCCGTGGTTAACGAAGCCGGCCTGACTCTGCACGGAGACAAAGCCCAAGGCCTGCCTCCAGCTCTGCCCACAGCAAGCTGAACACGGTGCTTCTGTGAGCTTGCACAAAGCCTCCCTTGTGCAGGAGGGGATCCAGACAAACAAGCTGGATCTCCTTGGCTGCCTGTCTCCTGGTGCTCCATCATTTATATTATTTACTGGATTGTTCCCACTACCAAGGAAAACTTAACAAGTAAAAGCATCTGATAGAAATCTATTGACCGCAGTAAAACACCAACCCAGCCAAACCCGTCGGTACAGCACGACCTTCACAGCCTGGGAGACACGCTCATTCAGTTTACCACCCAGAAAAACAGACGCCGAGTGGTACTTAGCAGAAAGCTTCGCGCCCGTGCGAAGGCTTCGATTAAAGCTTGTGTCACCAAGCACAGTGAGACATCTGAGAGCCGAGTGCCGCTTCCTTCCCCAAGCCCTGTTGTGCAACAACATGTCTCTTAGGTCATCTCCTTGGCATTTTGTGCTATCCTGTGTTTCCAGATCACACCGCTCCCCTTGCTGCTGGCCTTAGCATTCAGGTCCCGGCTCCTGGTGACAGCCTTTCTGGGCGGGCGCCCAGCAGGAACGATGCGCCTTGTCTTTGCTGAGGAACTTTGGTGCCTTCAAGTCTGAAGATTTGTCTCCAAGGCAAGATTTGAACCTCCTGTGAGTAATCCTGTAAGACTTCCAGTGCCGCGCTGGTTTTGGTTCTGTGCTGGAGGCAGCAGCTGCACTGGAGGCTCCCGTGGTGAAGCCATGCGCGGCCTGGATGGCTCAGGTACCAGCACACAGGGCAGAATGAGCCCACCGGCACGTTCCTCGTGGTTGAATTCATTTCAGCAGACAGTGAGCGTACGTAAGGAAACCCAGCTAACGTGATGCCATCCTCAGAGAAGGTGGCCGGGGACTGTGTGGCCAGTAGTGAATGACTCCAGGCAAGCAGAGCTGTTGCCCAGGAGACCTGCTGCACGGCTTAGCCAGCTCCATGGTTTGAATACACCCCTGGATGGGAACCTTGCCTTTTTGCCAAAGCACGCGTGGTGACCATGGAGGGTGATGCCAGCAGCAGCTGTGGCAGGGCACTTTTCCCTGGTGTGGTCCATTGAGTGTGGACTGTAGCAGGTCAGTGGAGCAGCCTGGTGATGGACAGAGCACCAAGAGACATTTTGTGAATTGGTCCAATACCTTCTGAAGGACACTGGAATCAGTGGATCCTTAAAATCCCTTCCAGTTCTGTCCCACATGAAATCTCTCCTAGTAAGAACAGATCCTTGCAGCCCTCTGAACTCTGCTTGACTCCCTCACCTTCACTGTGGACAGACACCAACCTGCAATTCTTCATTTTTCTCTCTGTAGCCAGATGGGAGTTTTACAGCCCTGGTAGATTCTTCTGTCCTAAGGGAAAGGGTACATCAAGCCTGAGGTTGCGTTGCCAGCTCCGTTTGGTGTAGAAAGGAAGGCAGAAAGCAGAGGGCAACTAGATTCTGCGCGGGTCAGAGGACAAGCAGTCTCCAAGCTGAGTCCTTCTAGCAGTGGATGATGTTGTAGTCCTAGCAGTAGAGAAGCATCCTTAGTGGAGAGCCCAGGACCAGCGTGATCCCACATGAGCATGTTACTGTAGCAGCCATCAAAAATCCATTTCCACAGGCAGGACAGTGGGATCTGTCAGGAAAAGCAAACAGCAGCTACTAGTAGAAGTCTGGCCAGTTAGTGAAAACATTCTCTGAGGGATCTGCATGCCCTTAACTGGAGGACAGATCCATAGCAAATTAGCTTTCCTATTGTAAGGATGATGACTCAATTTATTTCTAAAGGGTGCCCTTGCCAAGGGGCTCTGTGTCTGTGTGCTTCATAATAAAACAATTAAAAACCCCATCAACGCTAAAATCTTAACAGGCGAGTACAGAAAGGAGAAGAAAAGGGCCTTTCCCTTCCCTCAGAGCCAAGAGCTGCCAAATTTACAGACATTGTGGGAAGGGAAAGAATCTGAAATGATTTTTGAAGGCTGGAAGAGATTAGATGGGCAGGATTACAGATGGCCACAGGTTTTGCGCTCAGAAATTGCCACTGTTTGGCAGATCGTTCCACTGGGGAAATCTGCCACTGGACAATGCTCAAAATCTTCCAAATGAGTGGCAGGCTCATTGCGGATTGGGTGACATCGTCCACCCTCACTGGCCTGCTTACAAACCCTTCGGCTTTGGTCTCACTTACTGAGACTGGAAGTTCAGGTATAAATGGCTTAATGATCTGATTTATGTTTTCTCACCTCTCCGCGGGCTCTAGATGTTTAGGCAAAGCCTCTAGAGGATGAGGCAGTGGCTTCCTGATGGACTTACAAACAAGGGATGCTGGATGCTTGGCTGGTTTTTGTGAGAGAAATAATGTGAGTGAGCATGAAGGACCCAATACTAGTGAGACTTCATTGCCAGGTTTTCTTCCTATTGGAGTGAAACTTAAGTTAAAAGGAATTCAGTAGGGGAAAGGAAGCCTTGAGATTCACAGCTTCTCCCAGGCCACCTGTCTAGGGCACCTTTCCCACTGTGCGGAGCAGAACCGAGCTGGCCAGCCAGGACGTCTGTCCCAAGTAGGATTTTTTCAGCTTTGTTCATCTGTTTTGCTGATTGTCCCATTGCTTTGGTCTAAACAGCAAGGGTCAGGAGTAAACAAAGAGAAGTTTCCTTAACACTCCAGCCTCTGCCTTGGACTGGGGCACCA